TCAATAATATAATTTTTGTTACATATAAAATATATTTTGTTAGTCAAGTTTCAAACTTTGACAGTTTAACTCAAAATGCGAGCAGGACTTATAAAATCAGACGGAGGAAGTATTTCTCAATACGGAGATGAGACATACTCTATATGGAATTAGCATGATGAAAAGCAATATACTACCTATTATAAATTTATAAACTATGCCTCTCCTGCTTGCTGAAGGGCAATGGATGGCTCTACTCTATGTTCTTGTCAACAGTGCGGTACCACTCACTACTCTCCGTACGAAGAAAAGAACGGCATGCACTGCCCATATCCGGTCCACGCCACGACGATGTTCGGTCCAAAATCAAACGACATCATCTAGAACAACTGATAAAAGGAGACCATTACCGTAACAGGCGCCATACGACGAGCATGCGCGTTCCCAGTCGACGCAGATGAACAGACAACGATCCCTCCTCTTGCAAGTGGATGACAATTCCAGGCTGCACGTTCCCCATTCTGACGCTGTTCCACTCTCGCCTTCACGCATCCACGCCACGCCCTCACCGGCGGCGTGGCCGCTGCAACAAACCACTACGCTAATGGTGTCTGAAGATGGAAGCGGCAGCGAGATGAAAATGCTAATGGCATTGAGCAGGCGGAAAGGAAGGACCAATCTGATAATGGAGAGTGTGGAAGCTGAACAACACGTGGCGAACGGGAATCTCTCCTGATACGAACGGGCGCATGCAGCGGTCATTTTCATCCATCGCGTGTGCAGTCAAGGATTCCTGACAATGCCTAGACCTGCGACACTGTCTCTCTGCATGCTACCCCCACGTCCCGTCGCCGTCGCTCTTTGTCCCCTTAAAACACATGTCCTTATTACTCTAATGCTGAAACACTTCTGTACCTGCTCAGTGTCCGGCACGAATCCTCATACGCACTGGATGGACGCGATTACAGGGTGCCGGGGCACCCGGGTGTCGTCGCACCTTTCCGTATTTACATATACTCAACCTATTCATGGTGATGTCAATTGGATCATCAGAAATCAAAGATTCAAAGTGAGTAAATCCGTTCAGGGATAAGAAGATCAATCTGGCCCCGTAAAAAAGAAAGGAAGATCAAACCGGAGATTGAGGACTTGGATCTGGAGCACCACATCATGCCATGGTGGCGAGGATACGGCTTCAATCACCAGTGCTTCCCTGACCGAAACTAGTATCACCAGGAGAGGGACAAGATGTAGCACACATGCAAAAACATTGTCAGATGTTGTACCAGGTGCCTAGTGACTCCATAGAGATGGAGGATCAGCCCACACACGCAAATTGCGCTGCCGGATCGGATCGTCCACCGTCATGTAGATCAGGGTGGCGCACGTAGCTGGCGCTGGCGAAGAGGGTTGCAACAAACCGCAGGGATCACGGGTCGAAGCTTCGAGTCGGGCTGTACACTAGCTCGTAGGTGGACGGGGTCGCGAGCTCGATCATGGAAGGGGGTGGCGAGGTTGATCACGGTAAGTTAATTTGGTAGGTAGTGTCATGCACCTTAAGTAAATTATTATACCGTAAGTTAATCAATCAACGACGTACATGAAGGTATTAACGTGATTAGTGGAATATGCAAAGGTTTAATTAATGTGATTGAATGATGTATGGGAAGGTTTAATTAATGTGATTAAATGACGTATGAGAAGGTATTAATGTGATTGAGCGCGTATGGTTAGGTACGGTCAAATAAGGCTTGGTGAGACAAAAAAATGGCTGGACGTAAAAATCAATGGAGGGACATGATTGGAGGGGGTGAACCAATTGATGAAGAGAAACACTACTCTTTTATTAAGTAGTAGAGAAATGTTGACTAGTATTATCAAATATTGATTCGTTTCCATAGATGTGGTCCTTAAGGGTGTGTTTAGTTTAGGAACCAAGTGGAATGAAATGTCATGGTTTCATTCCACTAGAATGGGTCGGTTCCGTCCTTACGTTTGGTAGAAGGAATTCAGAGGAATGGAATGGTTACATTTGAGTGTTTGGTTTTTGAGATGGAACGGAATGGATTTGTTATCACACCATTCAAATATTGACATCAAATACAAAGAACACACATATACAGAGGTAAAAAATCATGTAAGTGCAAGAAATTCAGGAGGTAAAAAACCAGATGGGATCTCGCTGAGCGTCCTGGGGACGATGAGGAGGCGCTGCAGGCGCGTGCAAAGG